GGTGGGTGTTCCTAGAATTCTGAAAATGCATTTTGAATTTATGTTTAGGTTGAGTATTATGGCTGAAGTTCCTGTATCGAAATGCTAAATGTTTTGACTTACATACTAGAAGAATTTTAAGTAAACGCCTTAATACAATGTCACTTTGACTACTGTATGGCTGTACATCATGGTTTTGAGGTCAAAACTGCAACCTTACAAACAAGCCAAGGATTACCCAAGAAAAAATAGTTTGTTTTACTTCTGGCGCTGGGCCACGTCCCCATATTGGTAATAAGAAACTTGACAGTGTTGCATACCTTACAGTTAGGGTCAAGCAATGTTCATAACATTTTCTACGAGCAATCAATTCCATACTGGTATGTGCGCAAATTTTGAAAAGGTGTCAAATGTACATAACCACTATACCAGGATTGCTATATTTCATTTTCGTTTTCCTGTTATCAAGAGAATTGGTCATTGTACATTTCACTACAAAGGAATAAAATCAAACTCATTGCCAAATCACATTAAGTCTATTTAATTAATCCTATTCAAAAAGAAAGTTAAAGGACATCTATCTATACTATAGTTTTTATTGCTGTAGGCCTAGTTTAAGTTAAATTTTATAAATGATTGTTGTTTTGTCAGATATAAGTTTCTCAACTTCATGGGTTATCCATGGCAACCTTTTTTAATTTTTCTTTGTTGTTCATTTATCCAAGTCTTTTTAATGAAATTGTATTGCCCATTTTTATGATGTTGTAAATTGAAATTTTAATGTGATGTTGAATAAATCAAAACAAAACGCATGCCTAATAAATATTGTAAATTCTTGTGTATAGGGCATTCCGCATAAGACAATCCTTTAGTTTGAGAAGATTTTTGGACGATCTTTGTACAGTATGTTGGGCATATAATGTGACCTCTCCACCGTCAGAAAATCTTTATGGTCTTGATAATGCATCTAGCTGGCTAAAAATGGAGCCAAATGTAGGGCTAATCTTGCAAATTACTGTTATACCATTTTATGTTCATCAAAATCTTATTTTCCCACACTTAAAATAGTTTTCATTCATACTAACAGTTAGTGGCTTCATTTCAGTATTAAATTTAAAAGTTCAGGACGATCTGCACATAAGATGAACATGATTCAAATGAAATTTTTACTCTATGTGTTGCGCATATAAAAACGATCCCTGCTTTTTCGATTGTAATTTGCAATTTAAAGTCTTGTCCTACTGTATACGAGGCTTGTATACTGTTATAAAAATAATAATGCAATCTTCGCTACTGAATGACTTACTTGCTAAAGAGTTGAGCAGCTTCTCTTGAGTGGCAGTAGCATGTGTGAAAGATCCAAGAGAACCCCATGCAGACAATGGCACCGATGAAGAATGCCATGTACACTGTGATCTCTTGCCACTGGATGTCCGCTAAGATGGAACTCACCAGGTAATAGATCATCAGAGAAAAGAATGCTATACAACCTGAAATGAATTCAAGTAAGAAATATGTACTATAGAATATGGTATAGGGGCATCAGCTAGTTTTGTCCTGGGGGAGGGGGGGAGGTTGGGTACAGAATGGCATGGGGTGGAAAAATTTAGAATGCAGAACTAAATCACTATTCCAATGAAAAAACAACCCAATCAGTGGAACTTAATTTTTACGCCGGGGGAGGGGGTAAGGTGCTTATATGGTGTTTATTCAGATATGTGGTACACCATACTGTACTGTATATATTTAGATGTCTTAAGTACAATGTTTATATTAACATGGGCGGAAACAGAGCGGAAATAAGCTGGAATATGTTAAGTGCAAGGATTAGATTACGGTAGGACAACAATATCCAAACATAATTTAGGAATTGGCTTAAGACTGATGTAACAATAGCCACAGCTTACATTTTTACAGACAGCAGAAGCATCCTTGTATTGTTTTTTACTTGGAAAATAAATGTTATCTTATTTTCCTGTTCCTGTTGCCCTACCAAATGTATTCACATCTTAATATTATTATGTTCTCCGACCTTGATTAGAATCAATAATCACAATTGCCAACCATTTGAAAATATTGATCATAATCAATAAATTATTAATGACAAATGGATGCAAATTATAGATATTGATCAGGTATTGAAAAAAAACCAAATTACTTCAATAACCTTTGTGGATAACTACTGTAGCACAGTAGATGCTACTGACAGCACAGCACGATAGAATTTCCAGCTGTTAATGGCATCCATTTTTAGTATAGCAATTACTCCAGGAAATGGTAGCCATTGTCTTATGTTATTGTTTTAATATGGCTATTTCGCATAATACTTCAATATCCTTCATGAGTATATTTATGTGTCCCACAACAGCTGTGACTAATCCTGTATTCTTAATATCTGACACCAAATGGGCTTGGCTTATCTCACTCCTAAAGGGTACAGGACAATCTGAGATGCTGATACTACTATTAAAATTTACTAATATTAAAAAAGGAAATAATGAAAGCTATTAACAAATGCCAAAATAAAAAGACAAAACAGCGATACTTAAAACTACCTATTTAGATATTAACAGTACTCTTTATGAAATTCAAATGTGATGATTAAATTAGTGTCTTAATATATGGTATTTAATGATAGTCAGATCATTTTTTTAAAAGAAGATAGTATTTCAACTCATGTTTTTAACTCAACAGTATTTATATTGTTCCGTATATTGTATATTAGTCTTTTATGTATATTATTATTTTTTAAGTACATAATCCTTTGTTTTTTATATTATTTAATACCATATTATTTATGTACTGTAATGGGGGGGGGGGTGTTGTGGATGCCCCCCCCCGTTTCGCTATTTTTGTAATAGAAAATTGGCTAATTGGGTAAATATTACTACCATATTCCCAGAAAAAACAAGCAGAGCAGAGATGACCAGTGATGATGATTTAGGCCACAGTGCAGAAACAAGATGATCAGGGACATTCTGTAGGCTGGTTTTGGGAATATGCAAATTGAGAATGCGGAACAATTCCTATTGCGAGAAAAACTTAATAGTCACTTTTAGTACTTTAAATAGTGGAATAAATTTGCCTTCACAGTAGGGGGTGTCCATTCCAATGAAAACTTTTTTAGTATTTTAACCCACTTTATTGGAACAGATCTGCCTTCATGTACAGTAATTCCTCACCTATCTCAACTCAATTCTTCCTTTCTCAATAATAGTTTGTCAATTTCCCTCAATCTTGATCCCGCCTACTCTTTGTGTGAAATTAAAATCGCTTTCTTTTTCTTTTCTATTTTTTTAGGCATACTACTGTAATAGACGGTGACCCTTCCACCAAAGTATCTTTATGAAGCTTAGGAAGTGGAGTTGTTTTTAGTTGTGAGAAAAATTCCTGCTCTTACAGAAATTGAACCCATGACCCTGGGATTAGAAGGCAGGCATCTAGCCCACTGTGTTTCAACTCCACTTCATTGTACGGAGCATTAGAGTATTGGCTTATTGTTAAACTCAAATATATATTGTTGTAATTTTGCAGATACCGTACTAGACCTTGATGGCTTCTGGGGCGTCAATAAATTAAATTGAAATGATGGGGGAAACTAATTTAAACTTTTTTTTTTAAATTTTGCCTAATTTTCTACTAAATACATGTTGTACATGGAAGCAATGGCTTTAAGTAAGCATCACTTTCGAACAATGGTAATTTTGTAGATACCGTACTAGACCTTGTTGGCTTCTTGTGCATCAATAAATTAAATTGAAATGATGGGGGAACTAATTTATACTTTTTTATTTTACTTTGCCTAATGTTCTATTAAGTACATGCTGTACATGGAAACAATGGCTTTAAGTAAACATTACTTTCGAACAATGGTAAAATGTAACCAGTACTTTACATGTAGGAGCTCGCTAGAATTGAGAAAATCTCAATTGTTTTTGAGATCATGATGTAACATATATCCCATGCTGTACACTGTTGTATGAGAAGGAAAAAAAAAGGAAATGTGTTTGTCAAACTTACCCAAAAGATGTGTCCAAATGTTCCCTGTTTCTGTGTGTATCCTGAACATAGATTTAAAACAGACTTTAAATGAAGGTAGTTGAGGCCGATGATAATTATGAAGAAATTCATTGTCTTTTAGCCAGGACGGAAGTAAATTAAAATGTGTGGCTTTCCACACAAAAGCCTCTTTAACTTTGCGTCCATAACGTTTGGCATTCTCCGCCGTGTTAGCTGCTGCTTCTGCCGCCTTATCCTTCATACGACCGGCACGTTCTGCTACCTCATGCGCACGTTCCGATACACGTTCAGCAGCTTCATGCGCACGTTCTGACACTCGTCCCGCTGCTTCATGGGCACGTTCAGACACGCGTCCTGCTGCTTCAGAAGCTCGCTCCTTTGCGCGACCGGCTGCTTCTGCTGCCCGTTTTGCGGCCTCTCCAGCTGCTCGTCTCCCCGCTTTGACCGCTTGGAGTGGAAAAGTGATCATATCAACATCACACTCACTATAAGTAGGATCAATATCAGAATCATATTCATCGCTCTGTGAAATAAAACAATTTAGAAATCATGCTCAACTTATTATATTAATAATTCATCCATTTGCAATCTTTAATTATTCACCCATCTGTGTAAGTTCAGTAGATTCCTCAACTTTGAGCATCTACAATTGTTTTAATTTCCAAGGATAATAACATACAGTACAATTTATAATTTATATAAATCAACAGTAAAATGAATTTTTATATTAAAGGTTTTTAAACCCATGGTAAAACATTATTGACTATATTATATTGTATAGGTGTAATTTTGCCCTACCTGACGTGGAAATGTACCGAATACTCAGTACATTTGAAAACAACTGCGAAAAAATCGCAAGTTGTTCTCGGGTGGGACTCGAACCCACGATCTCAGATCACTAGCCTGGCATCATACCTCTAGACCACCGAGCTTGCGCCTGATGGCCAGGGTTGAATTCGAGTCCAAGTAAGCAGCTGGTACTGCAGTGTTGATAGTAATTGTTATTGTCGTGATGGAATAATAGACAATAACTGGATTTGCGTCAGGAGAAACATGTATATATATTATATGTACATGTATTTATATTATATTGACATGCTAACAATACAGAGTACATTAAAAATTACATCACTAAAATAGTTTAAAAGCCAAAACAAAACATTCTCCAACTGACATCAATAACCATGCAGGGCTACATGAGATGACTAAAGGGTGCCTTATTAATTTTGACTTGATTCCTGAACTACTGCTAAGTTGGATAAAATCTTTGATATTGAATTAAACATTTCATATTTCGCTTAAATTAAATGTACTCTCGTGTAAAATTTCCGGCCCTTCAATGCTGGTTACATCTACAGGTGAATTTTAGGTAATTCCCAGCACTACGGGGACACAACTATGTGTACGTCCCCGGCTCAGTCCCGGCCAGTGACCCGCTATGGCTCGGGTCAAGATTACAATTGACAAGTGCATATAGAACAAAACTGTTTTACTTACATTGTTGGCTATAAAAAATAATTTGGATAATAAATACTGTAAGGGACCATCTATTATTTTCATAATTTTTACAACAGTATAAAACATACTTTAGCAAAGGGGGTTGGGAGTGTTGGCATGTAACCTTTTAATGAAAAAATAAAATGATAATTTCAAAATTAAAAAGTTATCAATTTACGGTACTTTTTCGGGGGGGGGGGGGGGGGGGGGGAGAGGGGGGAGGAGGGGAAGAGATCACTGAAAATAGTATGGTACTGTATGCTTTACACTCTCATGACGACGATGAATATATAATACAGTAAATGACCCTAAATTAACTAACAATATGCATGTATTGATTGATATTAAAACATTCCCTATCACAAGTCTCATTACTATATTTTAACTCAGGAGAGGGGATGGGAGAAGAAAATGAGAAAAATGATGAATCACCAGTTAAACAGTAGTTTAAGTACAGAACAAATTGGGAAGCTAGGTAAACTAACGTATAACTAACATCCTGAGATAAACATTGTAATTTACACAATAATAACCACTCAAGTTTCTGACATTCTGTTAATAAACAATGTGGCATTCAGTCTTTAAATAGCTTCCTGGTTCGACAACCATCAACAAACCAAACAAATACTTTACAGGTTGCTTCAAACTCATGGGAATTTTTTTTCTTATACTTGAAGTATCTTTTTAGTCTTACAATCCTAAATGTTTTATTCCCACTATCATGCAATCTACATACCGAGGATGTTGACGAGGCGCTATAGCGACGTCGTCGCAAATTATCCTGATTGCCAGTATTCTGCATGCTACAAATCTGTTTTACAAATTCAGGAAAAAATTCAGAAGAACTATACAGCAAATTCAATAAAATTTGAGCAGATCACACCATCATACAAACCAAAGAACATGTGAGCAGAATAACCTGGTGGTCTGATGTCTGTATCGTCACACTTGACTGAGTACAAAGTTCATTGGAGGCCATTATGATATACTGTGAGATACAGCATGACCTTCATTTATTGATTAGATAATAAAAATAAACTCATCAACAAAGGTAAGTGCTTGAAGTGAGTTGAATCAACTTCAACCAAACCAAGTGGTCAACATACTGTACCTGAAAAACACTCAAATACTAAACGTGTTTTTTTATTTTTTTATTATTTCCTTTACATCCAACAAGTATAGTTGCCATTTACAGGAAGGAATGTTGCTTTATAAATCAAGTCTCTTACTGAGGCCTAGGGAGAAGAGTTTTTTTGGTTATGAGAAAAAGTTCTGCTGTGACAGGAATTGAACCCAGGACCATGGAATCAGAAGGCATGCATCTTTACTCCACTCAAACTGTTTTATCAGGAACAAATTTATATTTTTACTTTGTCAAAGTCACTTTGACAAATACTGTAAACTAGCTAGGGATCATTATATTAATTTGCTTGTTTTTATTGTCTGAGAATAAGATGTCTGCTACAGTAATGCTGCTTTTGAGGGTGGTTATACAGTTCAATTTCAAATGCCTACAGTATGTTATTGTTAATGTACTTACTTAATAATATCATACTAATAATTATAAATAACTAATAAGTTATCATAAGTTAATAATTAATATCATACTATTACCATTGCTATCTCAAAGCACCCTTAATAAAAAGTAGGATTTGGATTTGATTATTGTAGACTGGGCAGGACTTGACCCTACTGAGGCTAGTTCATAAAAATGTTTTCTAAGAATGATTTCCTGTTGTAGTAGAAACAAGAGCACATTAAAAATTCTTTCTTTATTTTAGTATTTAGGAATACGTGGCGTACAGGTATCTTACAGTAGGAGTCTAATAATAAATAGAATATGGGTGGGAGGGGAGAGATGATGGGAGGGGATGGGGTGGAGAATGGATTTGCACAAAGAAGTGCGAGTACTCGATGATTAAGTGAGGGGAACTACAGTATCTCGCAAAATACTACTTGAGTATATATTTTTTTGCTTTGAACATTATGAAGTGAACCGAATTCATTCTGTTTCTAAACCATTTTCAGATAGATGTTATATTGCAGTAAGCATGCCAGCATAATAACCAGTATTAACCTTTCACACAGCATCTTTGATACCACAATAATGCAGTAATCTTACGCTTTTTCAGTCTGAAAGGGTCTTATAGAATGAGTTTACAGCAAGCCACAGGAACATTAAGCATATAATTAAAAACCCTCTCCCTCATTACTTTTCCAGGCATGTAGATGACAATCTAATAATATTATTATGATGTGCCTTTATCTGTCTGTCTGTAAAATGTTGAATTTTATTGTTCAACTGTTTTTATGGTCCTAATATACAGTAATAAGTAAATTTGCTTTCATTTGTTTTCATTATGAGTCATTGAAACTGGAAGCTCATAATCCCTATATTCTGCTTACTATTATATTTCCCAAGTTCAAAATTATCCAAAGTGCAAAATTTATTTCAGGTTTATACATTTAATAGAAAGCTAAAATTCTTTTATACCTATTTTCAAAATCAACAGCATTAATGCACATTGCCACATCCAGGGTTGTAAAATTAATAAAACTTGAACATCAAAAAATTAAATAGAAAAAAAAAATGTGAATCTGAAAAACTTTGATTTGGCAGCTTCTGCAAATTAATGCCAACTTTGGTGTACTTTAGGTCAGAGGGATCAAATTCAGGCCATGCACACAGTGGTATTGAATATCGACGACCACTACTGTACTAGTGCACGCATCCCAAGCAGGTCGACAGTGTTGCATGTTTTTGTGTCTTTTGCCTCAGGGTAGAGTTGTAGACACTTAGCTATGTCTCACTTGTAAGTTGGGAGAGTAAATCTTGTTTGCTGAATTACTGGATGCACCATAAGCTAAAGATACAAAACATGATGCCATGCCTAAATAAGACCTGTTCTAGAAAGAATTAATAGTCAACAATCTGTGAAGTGAATTACCAAAACAGAAAGCATGGATAGGTTATAATAAGTAGCAAAAAAAAAAAACAAAACTATTTCAAACAGTAGACAAATGCTCACATTGGGGAGCCTACTTTTTAGTGTAAATGTATAGAGTACTATGCTGTTGTGTCACGATACCACGTGATACTATTCTGTTGCTATCAGCGACCAAAAATGCGGTCAACCAGATCCATTGTCTCCACTGGCAATCCATTGATCACAATTTCTAACGTATTTATTAAGATGTTGTATCTTAATTATGCTTTGTAAATTTTAATTGATGATTAAATGTGTGTTCAATAACTAAATATAATGCGAGCTTTTGTGTTTTTAGTACATTTTGAAGGTAAATTATTATTAGGTTTTAAAATGTCTATTCCAGAAAGCCTATTCTAAACTATTAACATTATCAGGGATGTCACCACGCTGGTCGGCGGTGGACGGGCCCGTCCAGCACTCAACATTTCCGACCAGCTCCCGACCACCACTATTATTTCACAAATTGTAACAAAATATTTAGTTTACCTAAACACAATAGACAAGCTAAATTGATACAGACAAGAAGAATACAATAAATGTTTCCGTGGTTACGTTAATTATAACAAAATACTGCACTGCCCTGCTATTCATTGCTAACTTAAGAGCCTAGGCCCAGTTGAGTCATAGCGAACGTCGTGGGCCGGCTTGACATGGTTGCTCTGTACACATTCAAAGGTTAAAGTTAAAATCGTGACCATTCTAGTGTTTTATTATGAGAGCATGGTCCGGGGCAGGAAGATTATTAAAAATTTACGAAACCTGATTATGTTTTATTTCTTTACTTTGTTTTCATTTTGTATTTTAAGTTTTTCACTTTTAATTATAATTGATATATAATGTGTGTAAATGGACAAAAAATAAATGAGTGCACATAAATCAGTGACATACACATTCATGGTGGTAATCGTCAAACATGTGAAATTACGGCAAACAATGCGGCTGGGTACAGTCGGATCGACGCTTTGTCGCTGGAATTTGTTCATTATTATTTTTTAATCTAAAACAAAGCATGTCAACTATTGAATTTAATTAGGCCTACAGTAAGTCCCATCTTCATCTGTTTTGTTGCATTCCTCAAATTCTGGCCTAGGCCTACCTGGGCCTAGCCTAAAAAAATCGCGTCAGCTAGCCTTGGGCCTAGGCCTGCTCGACTTAGGCCTTTTGGTATTTAAGTGCTTTCACGAATTTGGAGCCCCCCCACCGGAAAACGCGGAATGATCGCCGACCGGCACTCCGAAAAGCTGGTGACATCCCTGCATTATGAAGTCATTCAGGTGTAATGAATGCTTTACCAATGGTAACCAACGTCTGCTTGACAACAAAGGGTGCCACCTGGTATTGTGATGACACGAGCACCAAAAAAAACCTAAACCCTTTAAAAAATGGCTTACCGGCACTTTTCTATACTTCTGGCTACCATCACTATCAGAATCTGGACACACTTCAATTTCATCTCCAGTCTCTTCAATGCATCTTTTCGGTTTCAATGGGACAACTTCTTCCTTTATGGCACTGATGTCAAAAGTAAGGTTTCCTTGTGAAGTTTCAAACTTCGCCAATGGAGCTTTCCCGATCAAATCCTTCGGGATCATGTTGCTGTCCGGATTTTCAGATTCACTGGGATTGACTTCTTCTTGCTCAGTGCTGTCAGATTTTGACAGACCAGCGTTGCTGGCAAAATTCCGTTTACGTAGCCCACTTAGGCATAGGCCTTCTTCATTTACAACACTCATTAAATAATGTCCTCTTACAGTAGGAGAATTGACCTGCAATAAAAAAAAGGCTGTGGCTTGAAATATGGTCCAGTTACGATATTTTTTATTCCGTTTGTCAGAATCTGAAATAGAAATAAAATGTTTGACCTAATTAACCAACAATATTTGATATTTTATTATTATGTAAATAGATTTTAAAATGTTAGACTTAATTGGATTATTTTAAATCTAATCCATCCCATCATTTTGCTAAGAGGGTTTGGTGATAATGTAATATATTTGGAGAGGGAGAAGGCACTTTTAATATCTAAAGGTACAATAGGGTATTCTGATTGGTGGAGATGAAAATGAGGAATAAAATAAACTTAAAGAAGTGTTCTTCTGACATGCCGTAATAGTGCATTATGAGAGTAAGACTGTGAATTTTAGTTTAGAATCAAGCGCCACCAGTCAACACCTTTGCAATCATTGGAACAATAACCTCGGCCAAAATAAAAATGGGGTACAACTTGTGTTGCACTCTATAATGGATCAATGTCAGTGAGGCTGACGGATAAGTTAAAACCATAACTTGGTGGCTTCATTCCTAATTTTAATTCCTTCAAAATATCTACGAACATGCTTACCGATATGATGCTCTACACACGTAATAATTGTGCCTATATGTATTTCAAATATTATTTTTATTATGATGGACTTGGTTAGGCACGCTACGATGCGTTACTCACTAATTACTTGTGTCAGTTTAACGCGATTGAGTGCATTGTTGACAAAAGGCTTTATACATTAATTCCTAAAAAAAGCCTTTTGATTGTTTGAGTAGTTTTTTTTTCATGTCAGTCACGTCGCTCAGGGGTAGAAGTTGTTTACCGTTTTCAAAGTTTTCCAAGATCGCTCACTATATTTCGATATTTTGAGCTTCTACAAATTACAGTAAAATAGATCGTTTTTTTTTTTCAGAGAATTGCAATTAATAATGTTCAAACCATCCAGAGTTTATGTATTTGCCAAATATGAATGTAATACGATATTTCGCAATAGTATTTTTTCGTCCGCAAACCTGATGATCAGCCATGGATTGGCCTGTGTACTCGTTGTCGCACGATGATCTGAAGGAAGTGCAACACATAATCGGCAATATTTTTGGTGTAAATGAAGTAATTTGTGTTTGAAAAGTGAACTAAATGTTATTTAAAGTGTTAAAATATACTTTCAGCTCTTCATTATCGAAATACCAAGGATTAAATTGAATATTAAAAACACAGGATAATTTCGGGAAAACTGCGAGGCTGTTGGATTCTTCCATGCGAAGATTACGTCACGCATATCGGCCAAAGCAAAACAGAGTGACAGATATCTTATTAAAATCTTGTTAAAAGCAACTTGCTACACACTCGCTCAAATACTTCAAATGTTTATAAAACCGTAAACATTTGCTCGATTTCGTATAAAGTTTTATATGTTAGTGAGAATTAGGAGTTTTTTGTGCTGTTTTAGGGGTTTTTTTATATACAAGTTTGTATTTAAATTGTTATGCCTAAAGGCTGGTTTTCTGTTGACTTAAGAAGTCAGAATTTCTTACGATTGCGTTGGTTTAGCAAAGAAAAATTAAATTTGACATGAAATCGGTTGTGATGTTTGTTTTGCGAAATCCACGTAACAGGCAGTAAAATCGTCTTCTTATAGATTTTATTTAGGCCTATACATTCGTAAATTATCACTGGAGTATTGTGATTGATCTGGTCAGCAATAAAGGATCAGGGTTTTTTTGGGAAGTTTGAGATTGAGGATTACAATTAGATTTAATCAATTAAATTTATTTTACAAGATAACTCTACAGTTTTGTTTTAACGTATAGCAAGATACATACAAAATTTTGTTCCAGTTGCATAAAAAGTACCAAACAATTAAAGACATATAAAATATAAAGTATGATATATCCTACTTTATATTTTATATGTCTTTAATTGTTTGGTACTTTTTATAAAATATAAAATATATTAATTAGAGTAAATTAAAAAATAAAATACACTTAGAATATATAATATATAGGCCTACTTAATATGGTATTGCCAGTTGTTAAATTGTCTGGTAATTCCAACAAACAACTTTATCTACTGTACTTTAGAGTATTCCTAATTGTAGCTCCTGTCTATATTAAACAACCTGAACCTAATACAGTATTGTATAGGCCTATGATATTTTGAGAATTGACACACTAAAATCGATGAGATAGTTAGCAAATCTAGATTTGTAGGACCTAGAGTATCTGTATAGGACTAGGCCTAGAGTCTTTTGTGTTTAATCAACGGCGAAACTGTCCTCGAATTTCGTTGTGTTATTTTTTAATGAGGAAACCAGAGAGGAATTGAGGAATGTTAAGATATTGCAATTGTACAGAAAAATTCAACTGGACGTAACAGGTACAGTATGCAACGATGTTAGGCCAGGATTTCGCTTTTGTGTATACTATACACAGTTGAGCGTCGGAGGTAGACCGGGTAATTGTTTTGCGAACACGCCACATTCTTACCTTCTTATTAATTTTTTTTTTTATCTCGCCCACCAATGCCATGAAGTCTCATGAAAAGACATTTTAATTCATCCCACAATTAATTAAAATAAAACCCATTTAATTAATCTGTTTTACTGAACTGTTTATCACCGATACATCAGTGAGCGATAAATAAAGTGTGTCCTGTCTAATGAGATTAGTTTTTGTACTTTGCATCTCGCACACGGCTGTCGATCGAGTAGGCCTGAGATATGTTTGTTTAATTGTCAAAATCTCAGTCAGAATAATTTTTTTAACAAATCTGAAATAATGCCATTGAAATATTATATTTCACAAGTGTCAATACAATGGAAAATATCATGTCGGCCATTTTTACGTATGACAACAGAACCTAAATCGAAGTAAGGCTAGGCCTTGCCTAGCAGTGTTGCTAGGCTAATGTTTCCGGTGCCTACTACTGTATATTTCTTCGCAGACCTGTCACAAAATCAAACATAATAAATTCATCCGTGATTATATTTTTTGTGAGGAACAAAAAAAAAATCAAATTTCAATCTTACTTTACATTTTTTTTTCATTCTTAGGAATGTTTAGCATTTCCATATTACAGTACATTTATAAATCTTTTTTAACAATCTGATTTTTTTTCTAAGAACTAAAATTTTGCTGGAAATGGGGTTTCAACTTGGTTGGTGCACACTCTGACTCACGACTTGAAACTAACCAACTGTGTTTAGAGACTTGACTAGGCTAAGAGTTGGCCTACCTAGAACAATGAAATGTTCATTCGGTCGAATTTTTACAGGCCTTGTGAAATACTGCGTATATAGTAGTAAAACCTGTACAGCAGTACCCAGCGGTTGCCAAGCTCTTCTCGCCTCTAGCAGCCTGCCTTTTTTAGCCTACAGACAGGTTACAGTAGGCCTGCCTGGTGAATGACGAGGTGCCTAGCTAGGCCTAAAAAAGAGAGAGAAAAGTGGTGATATCTTTGAACATATCCTAAGGTTTATGTTGTAGAAAGCTATGTTACTGATAACAAATATCATATGAAAACGTCATAGAGTGTTCATACCTTATCTAAACTTGGTTGTTGATGGATCAATCAATTCTACAAACATTAAATAAACTCTCTTCCGAGATGTGTATAAGAGACAGGATTATTATTTTTCTAAAGGACGTCTTTGTAGATAATATTTTGAGTGTCTTTGCTGTCTCTTATACACATCTCTATTAAAAACAATTAAAACCAAAGAAAAGATTACCATTAAATAAAAAAGGTCGGGTCTTCATTGATTAAAATGTGACGAATTAACGATAATTGAAAACAATTCTAATTTTAATTTCAATCATTTACGCGAGCACGGAATTTACGCGAGCACGCACGCGTGAAAATATTCGATTATATATGAATTCTTATACGCTGTCCATACAAAGTGGTGTTATTATAAAATATAGTTGTAAACCCAATTAAGTGTGTGAAATTAATATGCAATGTACGTAACACATATACTTTGCATGTGTTCACCGGGAAGATTATGAAACAAAATGGACGGTGTGTACCACGTGACTTTCGTAAACCAAGGAGCGGAATGTCGCAACTCTTTATATATATGGCTCTGTGTCATAGAGTCTATGAATTCCCTAATTGGATGCATGGTGTAATCGTAGTCAATATATTTCATGGACTCTCGTAAATTTTGAATATTTTAAAATATTATAATATTGTTCAACAATTTCTTGTACTGTATTTTTTGCTTTAGCAAGACCAAAAACTCAAAAAAGGTCTGTCTGTATGGTGTTGTGTACACAGTAGGCCTAGGGTGTCCATCCAATAAGAATTCTAAACATTCGACTTGCAAACTAATTTTTTGACAGGTGGATATTAAATAGTATTTTACTTTCAATATTTCATTAAAAACAAAAATTACGATTTTTTGATGTTTACTTCCAGAGTTATGGCCCCAGAAAGATGGGGGAAATATAGTAATTTTGGCACGGACAAGGTAAATAAATAGCGCCCTCTATCGATGGCTGTGCAGAATGTCATAAATTAGGTGTTAATTAATTGTATACAGTAATTAATGCCATCAGAATACAAATAAATACATTTATGGAATCTTTATTTGCCTTCATGTACGTCCTCACCTTTCTCAACTCATTTATTCCTTTATCAAAGTCATTCAGATATGACATGGTTACATATATGAATCGATAAACAATAAAAAATAAAATAAATTATTACTTTTGTATTGTTATAGCCAGTTATATTGAAATCACGCAAACATCGCATTAGCTGAGAAAAATGTCATCTGGTTTGTTTGATCGTGTTTTCCTTTCAAATATTGTACATTTTCTATATTTTAATGGAATTTCTGAAGAGTCATTCAATCAACTGACCGATCAGGTCGAAAGACGCGCTTTGACAAACACTATTATAACACACGTGTTCCACAAACGTAGGCCTACGTGTTGCGTAGCCCTGTTGACGCTTCAAAATGTCATTCCTCTATAGTCTCTACTCGAGCTCATCTAAATAATAGCTCAAAAACCACAGTAGGCCTAATGTAACTGTAAAATATTAGCATATTTAATCAGATCTGTTATATTAAAGACAGAAGAAACATGCCAGAACAGACGTGACAGAAATTTTCAGGGGCGGATCCAGCGGGTGTCCACGGTCCCCCCCCCCCTCACTCTCGTCAATGCCGCCGAAAAATAAAAATAGGGAGAAAAAAATTGAGAAGAGTTAAAGTGAGGAAAGAGGGAAAAAACAAGAGTAGGCCCCAACCCATGAGTTCAATGGCGCGTGGAAAACTCGAGAGCTCCATTATGTTACCACTCCCATAGAAAAATTCTATTTTCTATCGATTTCATAAATCAGGATGTAAAAAAGGCCAAGTGACGGGGACCTAAGACTGAGGTTTTTATCCATTATTACGGACTGAAGAGTACCCGTCTATAAAACATACTCAGCCATGGCGTAATACCTATGCGCTCTAGTGCGGTGCCCTAGTACACATTGGTCCAGTAAAGTAAAGTAACATTCATTTCTCAATCATAATAAATTCAAAACTTTTAAATTATATATAATAGAGTATAAATGAACGAAATTTATCAAGGTTCAAAATAAAAAGCTTGTATAAATTGGAACCAAAATTCAAATATATAGCCTAAGATTCAAATTATTGTGCGGTAAGTAGTAAACGGCAAAAGGCCAAAATATTCTGGCTCCCGTACACATATCGCCAGTGGCTTATCCACGGGCGCCCTACTAAGTAGGCATACAGATGCAGTCATAATAAGAGAGTATTTTTTTTTTCTGATATTTGATTATTCATGATATTTAAATATAATGTTCCTCGTGGCTGCTAGATTTAGTATTTACATAATAGGATCGAGTCGATCGCTTGTCCAAGGGTACCTGCGCTGCCTATGGGACGTTTAAGGGATAGACTCATTAAAATTTATAGGGCTTAGGGGAGGGGAGAAAATTAATATCTGTGTCATGTGACAAATATACGATTACTTTTGTAGTTTATTTATTTTCTTCTGTGTTTTGGCTAAACCTACACATTAGCTCCAATGCTTATCTACTAGATAATCTACAATCTTCGCTAATTGCTCCTCCTTACTCCTCCTCCAATTAATTATCTCATTACTTGTATTATTACGAAACATATGAGAAATAAATCGTGGCTGTCAATTGGCATTCCCATGAAGTTGTGATACGCGACTTACTGAAAGTTGTGTTTTAAAATTATATGTTTGTACATTTTTACTTATGTTCGAGCAAGTGTTTGCAGATGCCTTCAAAGTTCCTGTTCCAAGACGGCAGAAGAAGACAGGGGAGCTTTCTTCACTTACCTACATTTAGTATTAAGTAATGTTAGTATTACCGCACTGGTTTATCTCTTTATTGCATTATGGTTTAATTAAAAATTATTACTTAAGATGATACCACCACCTGGCATTATTGTTCTGTTGTGTGTCGAGAAGCGCTTTTATGATGCATTTGTGAAATTCAAGATTCCCCTTTTTGACGTTAATTAAGACCTAATTACCGGTATATTATACAGTATAGTATTATATTGCCGGTGCAGCACAAGACTTCCTCTTGAATCCAGTTTTAGTTTTAAAAACAAACCCAGTTTTAGGACAAGGAACTAAAATATTTTATCGCACCTATTGTAGAAGGCACCTCCATGATTCATTTATGATGGTTTATAAAAGTATCAATCCAGATATCTTTTATAAAAGTTATACGTATACTCGTGACAAAGAACGAAATATCCAGTGCGCCCTCTATAGAGTAATGAGAAGCTCACGAAGGTTGCAGTATTAAATATACCATGGAGGAATTAGTTTAGAATACTGAGGCACTTTACGATATATAATACTCAGGGGCGGATTTAGGGGTTCCCCTATTTTTGGAAAGTAAAAGAAAAAAAATAAAGAAAAAGAAAAAAATTGATCGCTCAAAACGCCTCAGAGGTTATTTTCGGAAGTCTCGAACACAAACAAATTTCCCCCGGACCCCCTAGGCTAGAGTTATATCAATCGGTACCACTTTCGCTCCCCTAGGCTAGAGTTATATCAATCGGTACCACTTTCGCTCCCCCCCACCCTTTTTGGACATCTCTGGATCTACTCCTGATACTCATCAAATAGATAAAACATAAGTTCAGTAAGTTTAGCAGAGCCGGTACAGTGTATAATCATCTTTTAATCGTCTCAACGCGACAAGACTGTTCAGCAATCACCACAATCAACAAATAATATATACTGATTATAGGCGGCCTACAAGTTGCAGACACTAAGCAAACAAGCAGTCTGATACTTCGGCAAATGTGTTCGACATTACTTCTTGATAATCATGTGTTCTGGTCCGTATGGAAAATGAGTAAGGGTTTTTGCACCATCTTTGGTGACGACGAGGATGTCATGCTCGCGGTACCCTCCTGCACCTGGCTGTCCGTCCGGCAACATGACCATTGGCTCCATAGACAGTACCATATTTGGTTGTAAAACAGTTTCAATATCTTCACGAAGTTCAAGAGCTGAAATGAACGAAAAATGAAAGTAAATAATAAACAAAATAAAATTCCATGGCGGATAAGTGAAACTCGGCCGACCAGCTGACGCAGTCTGACCTACGCAGAGCAGAGCCAATGATTGCGTTTGCGTCAGAAGTGTGCTAGTGTGGACTGTCACTGCGTCTACGACGGTAGTACGGACGGTCGTACGACCGTCGACTGACGAATCCAATTCCGCCACCTTTGAAAGCTAGAAAACGCGACGCCATATGCTGGTTGTCGCTGGCAGTCTGAACGGATCTTCATTAAAAACGATCCGTTGCGCGCGCGTCGTGGCGTTGCGTTCTCCATACAATCACGACCGTCGACGACCGTCGGACGAGGCCGTGACAGAGTTCATTTTCTTTGACCACCCAATACTTGATAAACTTAAAGACAAAACTAAAGTAAACTGAGTGGAAACTTCAACTGTATTAGGAGAACATTAAAAGAGCGAACTAGGTATATCGACACGATATGTCTAAAAAATGCATCACCTGCTTCTCGTCCGTAATAATGACACAACACACCAAATGAGTGACCATACCCAAATGTGCGGTATTGCAGAAGGTCGTGCTTTTCGTAAATCATGTTTAACTTTTGAGCTATTTCTTTGCATTTGATTCCGGGCTTGACTAGTTTTATACCGGCCTCATGAACCTCACAGTTCGCCTCCCATATGCGCAGGGCTTCATCTGATGCGTGATCTAGGAACAAAGTTCGTTCCAGACCTGCAAAATATCTGGAAACATGGACAAAGAAGTTAAACACACCTTTCGTATTAAATTGTATTTGTGTTTTAATGTTAGAGATTTGAAGCCGTCCCCACCCCTAAATCCGCCCCTGTAAACTATTGTAAAATGTATTTCCAATTAGCTTTTTAATTATTATTATGTATCTATTTTTAGGCAAATTTGTATTTGTGTTTTAATGTTAGAGATTTGAAGCCGTCCCCACCCCTAAATCCGCCCCTGTAAACTATTGTAAAATGTATTTCCAATTAGCTTTATAATTATTATTATGTATCTATTTTTAGGCAAATTTGTATTGGTGTTTTAATGTTACAGATTTGAAGTCGCCACCACCCCTAAATCCGCCCTGTAAACTATAGTAAAATGTATTTCCAATTAGCTTTTTAATTATTACCGTATTATGTATCTATTTTTAGGCAAATTTGTATTAGTGTTTTAATGTTACAGATTTGAAGTCCTGTTTTTATTGTTATTGTATATTACATTTTATTTTCTAAGTGTAAGCGAAATAGGGCAATAGGAGACCTACTAGGATTTTGGTTCACTTTTAGGAATCCTGTCTCGGCCTATGTCTTATATTTATTTTGTATTGTATCATGTATTTGTTTTTGTGTATTCTATTTAACCAAAATACAGTGAAATAAATTAAATTAAATAAAAAATTTAAAAAAATAAATAAAATAATATAAAATGTGTTAAATACAATTCTCATCAAATTTCAGATATATACACGAGCAAGCAAGGCGGGTCGTGGGTAGTTTTAAAATATTTTGTTTTTGTTTTTGTTTTTTTAAATTAAAATTGTATTTTATTAAGGGGAATTGAAAATAAATGGAAGGGAGATACACGTGTTGAGTTACTGTAGAGTGACATACCCCGCCATCATAGGGAAACAGTTCAAGATGCAGATGTCGCCTTTTTGTACTTTACGACTGGTGACTGGGTTGTGGGCACCATCACTGTTTATACCAGATTGAAACCATGTCCATGCTAATTGTAAAGAAAAATTCACAACGTCAAAATTGCAGAAGACGTTAGTTAGGATTTATGCAAAATTAGTATCAATATGAATATAAGACAGAAATTAAATATAAAGTATTATTTCATAATTTATTCATTCTTTTATTCGAATCGACAATAAAAATACAAAATGGATTCGGTGAACTTAAGGACTATAAACATTTTCGGAAAACAATGTGGTCACGTAATACTCCGTCACTCTCACGATTAACACAATAAAGAATTTTCGCCGACGATATGGTATATATGTCGAAATAAAAAAAAACATGTTAACAATTAATTTGAACAGAAGTTACTTACTGTCCTGAAGTGCAATATCTGGCCGACTTTTAGCAATCTCTCTCACCATAGCCTGAGTTGAGTGTAAAGCTATCTCATGTTCGCTAACACCTTCGGCAAGTGCTTCAATGACCGCTCCCCCACCGATTTCGGCAATCCGAGCCCCTTCTGTAATGTGTGCTATCTCTTCATCAGATTTAATCATACGCAGGTACATCGTTGATTCCGCAATGTCCACCAACTTGCTTTCTGGCAGTGCATTATGAAGTTTGTTGTAACTGTCCAAACTTATGTGGTCGAATTCACAGCCAATTTTCCCCTTTAATTCGCCGAGCTCATGATTTACGCCTGTAAAAAAGTTGTCCCGTTGCCAGTCCGTGTAAACTAAATTATCACCATTGACAGTACGACGCCACGGGTACCCACCATCGACGTTAGCAGAAATTGAAACAATTTTATCATGCGTCACCACCAAGCCGTATGGGCGTCCTACCTCGCAATACATGAAATCGGAATAATAATTGATGTTATGATGTGACGTAAACAGCACGCCATTGATGTTTTTATTTTCCATTTCTTTGCGAAGTTTGCTGATCCTTCTATCCATTTCGACTTCAGAAAACGTGCCCCTGGCCTAGTACAGAGATTAAAATGTATATTTAACCAGAGAAATAATAACAGTGCTCGAATATGAACATAGGCCTATAATGTAATAATGTTCGTTTATATCGGTAATACGAAGCTATTCTAATTTGAATATTACAAATACATAGTGAGTAGTCAGTACAAGGATTATATTTATGCTAAGAGATATGGGGAATATACGTTGCTATGGTTCCTACCATTGTCTAACTTAGGTGTTAATATTGCTTAATTGTTACACAATAGATACTTTTTTCTGTGTCTACATGAAATTACCAATTCATTTCTGTTATTTAATGTGCCTAATTTTGGTTTACAAATATGAAATACTTTTCCATCAGGCACAGATTACACTTTTTTTGAAATTAAGCTACAGTTGTATGCCTAATATGAAACAGATAATTGCAAGCCACAACAAGACGCTGCTGAAAAAAGAAACTGATCTGACCGCACAAACTACTGGTAATTGTAATTGCAGAAGAAATGTAACATGCCCATTAGAAGGAAACTAATTTGTATTATGAATATTAAAATTGTCAGGATCTGTGTAAATAGCTAGGCCTATCCACTTAAGCCCACATACCGGTATGTCTCTAGAAGAAGTTCAGAGAAGAGTTACTAAGATCTTGTTTTCCAAAATCCACTGGCAGGCTTCATTACCACGAGAGACTTACTCGTCTTAATATTGTATCTTTTAAACACCATTTTCAGTTTTTAACGATATCATTCATTGCTAAGTGTCTTTATTGAATTTTCAAAATCAATCGTTTTAGCCTTATTTCAATCAGTTTCAATCATGGAGGTATTATTGAGAAGGAGATCACTCGGCAACAGATCCCTTTGACGCGACAAACCTATGTGTTTCCCGCTTTTGGATCGCGCGCGGGCGTATTACCCTATAATTCACATTTTTTTCGTTAGCAACAACTTGGTAACGATATATATTAACAGGGGGCATTTTTACCTAATCCATCCATTTAACCATCAATCAGGTACAGTACATTGCTGAAATGAGTTACCGTGCTCTGCATAAATAGGCCTACATTTTCATGTTTAAGACAGAATAGCACCGGCCATCGTCCTGGGATTACTGTATTTTCTCATTTAATAGCAAGTTAACATTTCTATAATTATTAGTAAAAGCTGTAACTGTAAAGTTTAATATCATCTATCAGGATTTTTTTCGTTCCGTTCTTGTCCAACGCATAGCGTGTCTCGCTCTATACCACCCTGCTGGTAGAGATCTAGTTGGCACAATGGAACAACCGGTAGCGTCCTATTGTCTTGAATAGATAGCTATTATAAACATTATTGTACATGATCAGGTACGATAAATAATTTGTATTATGAATATTAAAATTGTCAGGATCTGTGTAAATAGCTAGGCCTATCCACCTAAGCCCACATACCGTTATGTCTCTAGAAGAAGTTCAGAAGAGTTACCGTACTAAGATCTTGTTTTCCAAAATCCACTGGCAGGCTTCATTACCACGAGAGACTTACTCGTCTTAATATTGTATCTTTTAAACACCATTTTCAGTTTCTAACGATATCATTCATTGCTAAGTGTCTTTATGGAATTTTCAAAATCAATCTTTTTAGCCTTATTTCAATTAACCACAGACATAGTGACCATCTTAAGTTTTAATTTTTTCTCGAAACAATGCTCATAAATTCTCTGTCTTTAACTCTTTTCTTTAACTTTTACATTTTAAATGAAAATTTAAAAAGATGGTTAATTTATAATTATCTATTTTTATACTCGAATGTTTTATGTATTACTGAACTGTATGTGCTGCCAGGGAAGTCCCGTGACAGTAACTTTGCGTTGCTTTTGGCATCCGGCCAGTCAGCTTTTCGATTATCAGTTGAGGGGCGCTAACTAGCAAAATAAGGTGATTTTTATCTACTTGACCGTAATTTTTTTGGGCGATGGGGAGAGGGGTGGCGGGTATTTTTTAGATGGTGTGCGCCCCCCCCCCCACCAAAGAACTCATACTCCGCTGATGCTTAAAGATAACGATAAAGAAAGGAAAAGATAGCTGGGATAAAGATAATAATTGCATACGATTGAATGTAGCATCATGTTCCGCTCTGAATTTAAAATTGTATACCGTTGTACAGTATGTGTTTATTTAAAATAAATTTTTAAAATAAATTTTTATAACTAAAAGTGATTAAAAAATAAATATAAAGTTGAATAATGTGGGTTACCACCACAAAAGAAAAAAAAGCTAGGATAAAGATAGTAGAATAACACATAACTCCTCACCACTATACTCCCAGTGGGAGAGTGTGACTTCAAAACTTAGCTACCTTTTCTCCGTTTCTGAGTGTGGCTAGCTGGGGCATGTTCTTGGTGGGCCATGGTTCTGCATAAGCCAAACGCCTACTGGAATCGATGCTGTATTTGGCGATTGCGCTGGTCGACCACAACATGTTTCTTACTGAAACACCTAATTGCCAACCATATTTTAGACGGGAAGCCAGATTGATCATTGGTAATCTGTAAAACAAAATATTATATTATAAATAAAGTAATAAGTAGCTGGTATATATAAATAAGCGGTTGGCGCAACGGTTGTGCAACCTTCAGATAGGGGGATGGAAACCTTCGTTGTGCAAGTCGCTTGTGTCCTTAGGCAAGACATTTTATCTGCGTTTGTCTCTCTCCACCCAAAGGTATAAATGGGTACCGGCATATGCTGGAAAGTTAAAACAGACTGTTGTGTGGGAGGAATGGTGAACCCCCACCCATAGCCTGGCACAGTTTGGCCCAAACGGTTGCCAGTATCACGGTTACAATGGTACTGGATCATAAAAGTGGTTTTACTGTTATTCAGTTTTTTCCTTTACGACCAAAAGGTCATTATTATCTCAAAATATTACAAACAATAATATAAACATTTCTTATAATAATAAAACAATAAACAATAAAAAAAAATAGAGTAAAAAAAAAAACAATAACCGCGGAATTATTTTTTTTAAAGCTCATTTCTTAAAATACTTTTAGAGTACATACGGTGTTTTCTTCTCACTTTTATAGTATAACTCAGTAAAAAGGGGGATAATTAGCTAAATAAGGTGATTTTTAACTACCCCGGTACTTGACCGTGATTTTTTGGGGGTCGACTGGGGAGGGGGGTGCGAGTAATTTTTTTGGGGAGGGGAACGTGCACCCCCTCACCCATTCCCCTAGATACGCCACTGGATCATTGTTGAAGAGAAGAAAAATACTGGCATATTTTCCATATTATAGCAGCATGTTAAATACTTTGCGATTAGCATTATTCTATTAAGAGATATAAAGCAGAGACCATCAGTATTTATTAATAAGATAATGTCACAAGTTGATAAGTAAATAGACCAGTTAGGGCCTAATAGCAAAATAATTTTTAAAACTTAACACCAGAGTGGTTCAAATTTAGTAGACCACATGAAAATAGAAATGTTCAATATAATAAATTTCGCCACCATGGCAGAAATTGTAGTTTTTAACTTAATTCCTAATTTATTTAACAATATTCTAGTTGGACAATAGTTATGTAATACAGTATTTTCCAATTTGTACAATACACACGTGAATCAGATTTAACGACATTGATAGACCTTTTCTAGACATTAACTAGACAATAAGAAAAAATATTTAAAAACGGACTAAAATTGTGTTGGATATAGTGGAACCCACCTCACCTCTTCTGGTTGCTGGCTGAATTATATTTCCCTTGTGCGTGCCATATCAACATTAATTTTTCACTTTACCTTGGCAAACTTTGAATTAAATTGATCGTTGATGGCGTTGTGCTAGGTGGTTATTGATAAAATAGTAATAACAAGAGACTTTACTTGGATTACTTCCAAGTCAACACCATACAAAAATAACGCAAATGTAAAATAAATGATTGCAGCATTCTACTTCAATTTGTTCTGCATACGTACCGTATTCTTCTTTTCATGAACTGATGAATCCTAAAGAGGAAAGAGGGTCCAGGGGTCCTCCCCCGGGAAAATTTTGAAAATTTCGATCCTTAGATGGCAGGAAATTAGCTTTATTCTCGACATCTGAGCTGTCTTTTAATGACTTTAAATTCTTGAAATTTTAAGGTTTTCCCCCTCTTGAAAACGGTCAACGGTAACGGCAAACTTTATCATTCTTAATACAGTAAATACTAGTAGGCCTATTATGCATGTATATAAAGTGCATCGCATACACATTCTTCTTTCCATGAATCGATGAACCACAAAGAGGAAGGGACCCCACCCCTCCCACAAAGGGGAAAAAAAAAACATCCGCCAATGTGAATTGCGAGAAATAACTCGGTCGGGGACTGCATAAACACTTTCCTTCCCCTCCCTCTTTCTTTTCTTGCATTTATTTCCGATCATACAAAAGTCTCCACTCCATATAGACATTATATATTTTCAGCCACAAAGTGGGGGAGGGGGAAACCTATAACATTACAAAAACAAAATATGTATTTGCACAGACACAGTATACTGTAGTTGAGCAGCAAAGCGAAACCATTGCAGTTGTTATGACCAACTCCCTGATCAGTCTAGTAGTAGAGTATCAGTCAGTATCGTAAATTTAAAACTCAGTAGTCGGTAGTACGCTACTCCCGGACGCATGCCTCCCGGACGGACCCAACGAACGCGAATTTCGCCTCCAGAGGACAGGACCGGACAGTATTGAGTACCTGGCCAAAACCCTTTTCAATGTGTGGTAAAAACAAATAAATAAAACCACAGAAAGGCAGCTGCAGTGTGCGCATAAGGATTTATTATATATTCAATCAATGGACGAATTCATTTTTATTATGGTTGAATTCAGATTAAAGTTTTTTTTTTCTTCTAAGGTCAAAATTATGCTAAATTATGCTAAATTTGTCTAAAATTATGCCAGTACATATGCTAGATGCTAAATGGGTCTAAATTAGTCACGTGACGCCCATCGCTAAAGCCCTCTTCAATGGCGCTGTG